GCAACAACACCCAACAACATGCAACAACATGCAAAAGGGTGTTCAAACGGATATGACATGTAACATCAAACTATATTGGGAGTTGTTGGCCAACAAACAATGTTGAGTCAGTTTGCGTGAGGCTTAAGACCATGCACTTCCTTGTGCAGTTCACTATGCAAATACGTTTTTTTAGCAAATGAATGTACTTCTTATTTAAGAATACAATATCTTCTGCATCAAAGGACAGAGATACCCAGTAATACAAGAGATGAGCTGTCATTTACATTTACTGGTATTACATATTTTGTTTACCTTGTTCATTTTTTCTTTTCTGTCTTAGGAATCCATTCATCCAACTCATCTTCAAAACTATGGTTTTTACAGTACATAAAGGAAATTCTGTCACCCTGCCTTCCAGGCATAACATCAAACACATGCTTGCGTGGCACTTGTTCCTCTTCAACTAACTGTGACACGTAGTTTGGTTGATAACCAGGGCAGTTGGGTGCGGGACAGGCTGGCCCACAGTGGAACTTAACAAAAGGGAAATTCCTGTGGCAGATTCCATCAACCATGGAAAACACTTGACACAGTACATCTGATGGCATCATTCGCTTATCTGATCTGATTAAAGAAACAGCAGTAATGCTTTTTCACTCTCACCTTAAACACTACAATAGACAGTAGTAGTGATTTTGTTACCTCTGCGTCCTGTGTCCCTGACACATAAAAGTCCCCAAAGACGCAAATTAATTTGTGGTATGTGTCCCGTAGGATGCAAAGATCGATTGATCAATCTGAAGATGTTTTTGTAGAATATCTTTTTTGTGTGATTTCTGTGGCTGTTGTTAACGTTGCATATTTCTTTTAGTCTTTGTTGTGCTTGACAATAGTGGGAGTATATTTTTATGTCAGTAAACTGTAATACAAAGTTTTGGAGTCTGTCTTCAGATTAACTGTGTGGTTACATAAAGACCCAGGGACTCGTGTTTTTGAACTGGGACTAAATGGTTCTGGACTTGGACTCATGATTTTTCACAAGATGACCGAGTCCCAGGACTCACCATAACTATTTGGGTGTAACAAAATCACTGCTGTCTAAGCTCATGCTTCAAGGGATGTGCTGTTTTTCCCTAATGCATACAAGTACATGTACTCCCTTGGCTATTCATTGTACATCACAGACCTTTAACCCTGATGTTGTCATAGCAAATTGTATTATACACATCTTTCTACCTAATAACCTACTTAACAATAATAATTTTATTCTTAAGTGTCACCAAACTTCAAAGATGCCTTTGAGTAAATTTAGGGCCTACAAGCTTTTGTCAGGTGACACAATTCTTTGATCCTTAAACAGCTATCCTAATATTTATCAGGTCTTTTTACAAGCTTTTATGAACATGACCAATAAAAGTTCCTTTAACTGACATTTCTGGTTACACAAAAAATTTTGTGTACCAGGTGCGAAGACACTGGGGCCTCGACTCTTATATGCTGTGTTGATAAACACTAAGAATGCTTTCAACAACAACTCAATGAACAGAACAAACAACAAACAAGCAGATTCATAAATCAATATTATTTTCTTGTCAAAATCATTTTACATAATTATAAATAACATTTAACACCCTTTTGTAAATGTGCAGTCCTTATACATGTCAACTGAAAGCAAGACCTTACCTACAGCTGAATGTGACTTCAATCATCTTCTCTTCCTTTATCAACTTGAGACTGTAAGGTTGCCAAGCTCTCAACCAGAACTTGCCAGCATCTCTGAACAAGACTGTATGACCATTAGGAAACTCCACCTTACTATTCTTGTGAGCACGAGATAGCAGATGATGGAACAGAGGTTCAGGCAAGAACTTGGTGAAGAATACATAACACTTCTTATCAGTGTCATCATCATACCATACGGGTGTGTTCCTTTCTGAGGCCATTGGTAACAAGGAGGGTACAAAGTGTGTTGGCTGCTGTCCTTCATGCACTCTACACATGTTCACCTTACTATTTGCCAAGGGGCATATCAAATCATATTCTTCAAGGAAAGCTGTCATGGCTTCTTCATTTTCCTTTACCTTTGAGATAATGCTCTTCAAGAGTGATTTTGTCAACAGTCCCTTTTTTTGTAAGAGATTCCAGTCATGCCTCAAGCCTCTTTCCTGGGTGATCTCAGGTGGTGGTATGACAAGTTGAATGATGATGTCAACCAGTATTTCAGGCTTCAGAAGCACCCAGTTGGACAGATCTGGACTCTGATTTCCCTCGAGGTAAATTACCAGACCCTTCTCATGGAAGTACTTCAAGGCGTCCTTTGACCAATCTGTGCAAACAACATTTTCAAACGCCCTTGGAAACTCATCAAGTGTTACACAGAACTTGGCTCCCTTCTTTTCTGTGTGGCTGATAATTGCATCTTGTATTCTAACCCAAGGCAGAGGGATGTCACAACCTATGGTTTCCTTACAGTGCTCAGCAACATCAACAATTTTTTTTTGAAGACACTGAATTCCAAAGTCACTTTTTCCAAGAGAGTTCTCAACGGGAAAGAAGACCAATCCTTCTACATCATTCACTATCAGTTCATCACAGTGGGGATTCCACAGGTTTCTTCCGAGGTGGAAATCAATTATTTCAATATCTTTTTTATCAACAGTTCCTTTATGAGTTCCAACAAGAAAAATTAGTGCTTTGGGTGGTACATGGCTACAGACAGACTCAATCCAGAACTTAAGTCTTTGAATTCCTACATTCTTTTCCGTGAAATCATTCGCCACAAACTCAGCTATGTTAAATACTATGAGGTAAATGGCATGTCCTCTAAGAAACATGTGATGGTACGCATAATATTCTTTATCGCCAGCAAAGTCAAGTATCTTCAGTTTGAGAGATGAAAACTTTTCATATAGTGCACTTTTCAACATTTTTTTGTTGATCGTAAGTGCTTTTCCAGATACTAATGTGATCAACTTGTTTGGGGTTTTAAAGTTCCCAGGGACCGTTGAATGGAGGTAAAATAATTCCACATAAATCGTATAGAAAATGGATACAGGAAATAGAATTACAAAATAAAAACGTGCTGATGTAAACACGAGTTTATAGTGGTGAAATATTAGAGTGACAAAAAGTGATATCGATCCATACTTGTCCCAAGTGTCAGGCTGTGGCAATAGTTTATCCAATCGCGGACAAAGACATTCATAACAAATAGAAACTGGAAAATTCAATACAAAATGGTAAACGCACAAGTCAACCACATACAAAGGTCGAAATGACAGGTCTGTGCTTTCCTCCAATGTTGTTTCAGGAACTTTTCGGAATGACGCAACAATAAGTGAAACTGCTTGAAAGCCAGAAATAAACCCAATGGAGATTGATAACAGTAAGCGAGTGAAACAGAGGAACCACAGAGAAAGTTGATTCTGAATAATTCGTCCGGTATAGAGGTGTATAAAGCGCTGATAGTCGTTCATCCACGGTACCGAAGGTCCCATTACTACAAACAAAGCGACAAAAGTGATTACTGTGGCCGTTGCCAAAAACGGTAGTTTCGCATGAATAGCGACCAAGTCACAGTACGTTTCATCCCAGTAGCAAATAATTGCTGCAAGATACGAGCCTATTAATAAACCTCGACGCCTGATGATAAAACTCAACGTGGCTAGCATAAATCGTAATTGATTGCGAGTAAAGTGATATGAACACAAAAGAGCAATCTCCGGAACATAATTCATTGAGAGGAATAACATTGTCCCAGCGGTGAGCCAATAATTTTCTCCCATTACTAACATGACCAATATGTTAACCACATAAAAGGCCCACAAAAGTAAATGAAACGGTAAAGACATTTTCGACAACACAAACTGCTCAACTACAACGTTACTGGTTGCTTCGCCAGTTCTAATAAATAGCACTTCTACTGTTCCATATGTGAAGAACCTCCAGAGGTCTCCGAAAATAAGTTCCGTCATATTGTAGTATTTCCAGTTTTGGTCCACGAGACTCGGATGTATTCCTTGTGTCTTGGTTTGATTGGGATCGAATTCCTTTCCTGTAAGCGATTTAACCAGACTTGTTTTGCCAACCCTAGAGTCGCCTAGAACCATACACTGTCCTTGAAAAACAAAATAACTCTCTTCTTTGTTCTCAGCAGAGCTTAATAACTCCACGTTTTCAAAGTAGACCTTTTCCTCAGGCTGCCGAGACAACTGCGACGGAAAGCTATGATTAGCTTCAAGCATTGTAGTAGACTCTGTAGACTCAACGACAGGACTGCAATTTCCTCGATCCCCAACATTTCAAAAATTCCGAAAATACGCCCCAACCTGTATAAGCCCCTCCAAATATAAGCCCCACAAACCGTTAACGCAAGAAATCCTCCGTTAAATTGCCCCTCCGAATATAAGCCCCCCGGGGGACTTGTACTTGAAAAATTGCCCTCAAATACAAAGTAAAAC